CACTGCAGTCTTCAAAGGCAAGACTTGCACCGATGTGCTGAAAAAACGATGGGATACTGGCACCAGCACCTGCAATGTTGCCGTCTGGTAGCGGTCTGTTCTTGACGTCCGTCCTAAAAAGGGGGAGACTGCCGTATTATACGGAGAAAGAAAAACAATCTGCCCACCTAACCATTGGACCAGCGAAAACCCCTATCAGAAAGATCCACATTGACTTGGGCACATCATTGCACATGCAACTCCTGCCTTGTGTGACTCCAAAGTATCAGCATCCTTTAGGATCCGCCTCACCGCCGACGAATTCGACTCGCGCGCACGGTACGGTACCTGAAGGGACTAGCATTATAGTATACCGTATTGATCAAGAGGCCGAACCCGAAGGAGTTCGAAGGTCTGGATTCGCACATCAATAACATCAGATCATGGTCTCGAGTCTCACTCGCAGTCGCGGAAAGAGTCAGGTCGCTCACTGGATCACGCATTTTGTTCAGGTGGCGGGCCCCTTGAAGATGAGCTTCATCTGGTCAGGCTCTATACCAGACCTGAGACGTGGTTTGAAGGCGTTGTTCGCAATAAGTCAAGGCTTCTTGTCCTCAAATTCATGGACCTGATGAGGACATTCCAACGGGACCATGCTGCATGTATCATTGTGTATCCAGTACAGATTCACCCAGGAGGACTCTGTGTACTTGCACCGAGGAGGAATTCTTGAGTGGCATCTGTTGGGAGTCCGTGGCTTTAATCTTCGTCAGCGAAATTGCCGCGGTTTGGATGTCACGTGCGGTGTGCCCTTCGGCACCAAAAAAGGATTTCTTTCTTGTCTCTGGCAAGAGAACATTCACGTGAATGGATCCGTTCGTTCGGTCCAGTCCGAGCAGATCAACACTGAACCGTTCAGAGAAGAGGAAGACAAGCCAATGATTCCGTCGACTCATTCATTGCAATTCCCAGGGTTGTGCATCGCCTCCAGACTTCTACCTTTGGAGGACGAAAAGTTCAGCGTGGATCACTTTGAGAGCCCCTGCGGTTCGTGCGCTTTCTCTTTGACTTCCTTCACGGTCATCGAAGGCTCCAAGTCCAGATTGAACCTCAAAGTCCAGACTTGATGAAGTCGGTTTAAACTTTACTGAACTAATTCTCATCAGGAGTTAATGAGATCGATATTCTAAGAACACCATAGCCATGGCACCCCTATTGGAGAAGATGATAGAAGATGAAAATGACATGATGATACATTGGAGTTCAGGGATCTCGTTTGAACCTGAAACTCTCGAGGATCTCCCATGGCTCCAAGACTCCAAAAAGAAAAAAAGAGGAGTCTTGACACTTGGAGCCTTGGGGCAACAAGCAACTGCCCATCTTGATTGCTTAGAAAAGTTGCTCAAAAGCTCGTGCGTTTGTCACATACATCCCCAGGGGCACAGAAAGGTTATAATATATACATATATAACATTATATAATATAACAACATCCACCTTGCGAACTCCTGCGCACCTAACCATGCGCACCTCACCTGCCACAGGGTACTCTCCGAAAGACTCCGGATTTCAGGCTCTGAACACGACTTGAGACGTCTGCAACTTCTCCACTCTTTTTGGACTGGTGCGACTCGGAGGGAATGAGGGTGGCTGAGCCCCCAATAGAGATTCCTTTAAATCCAGCCACTCTCATTCCCTACGAGTCGCACCAGTCAGTTTTGCCACAACTCTTCTGCCATCTGAAGCCCGGGCGAAGTCCCTCCAGAGCCTGAGACCTTGAAACTCACTGAGATGGGCCTGGCGAGCCGCAAGAAGCCCCCGCACTCGCCCGCTCGCCGAACGAGTCGCCGCGGATGTACATGTACATGGTGCTACTCCCCTAGTAGCGTCCTTGCTCCTAGTAGTAAGAAAGCTCCTAGTAGCGATCCCAGGAGCCCCTAGTAGCTTCTTGTTCCTAGTAGCGATGCCCTTTGCTCCTAGTAGCGTCCTTGCCCACGGAAATGGTGCACATAGATCCATTCTAACGCTTTTGCCTTTGCCGCCATTTGCCGCCTCTGGCAACATGCGTCTGTGGTCTGTGTAAGCGCCCCACCCTCATACCCAAAGAAAAGGAAAAACAAACAAACCACGACCACTCTTCTTAACGGATGATGTTGATGACACGATGTTCGCCGGGGAGATCGGTCGCGATCTTCCATGACACGATTCGTCCCACGCTTTCCACAGTCGGTGCCAAGGCGCATGGCGAATTTGGTGCAGCCTCTGCGGCCTTTGGTGCGCCGAACAGGGCGAAGGAAGGGATAGGCGTGGCTCGAATAGAACTAGGTGACTAGGTTCCAAGCTGATTGCAGTGTGCCAGAACATATAGAAGGACATTATGGAAAAAACATCTACTTGCTAAACTTCTTGAACTCTCTTTGGGTGTACGCTTGGAATGGAGTGGTTGACCATCTTTTTCGACCTCTTGCTGACTAAAGTGCTTCTCCCTTCTCGGTTGACGAACCAAGCCGGTACGCCCTTCGGGCGCAGCGGACGGACCACCGAGTTCTCACCGCAGAGGTCACGGATGGGCCGGTCCGAAGAGAAACCACCGGTGGACGCACCGACGTCTGAAACCGTCCCAGTCCGCACCCGACTCGCCTGCGAACGGCGCCCTGGGCCGAACGGGGAGGCGGTGCGAGTCTTTCGGGGGTTGAACATAGGAGTTGATGGTGAACGCAACAAAAGGTTTAAGAACTCGCATCCTCTTTTTTTGCTCCTGGTATTTCAGAAACCCCAAAACCCCACATTTAGAAGTCACGAGTTCAGCAGCCCAATCAACTGTCCAATCAGCAAAGCCTTCAGGCCAAGCACCGGATCTCACCGAAGCTCTAATCTAATCCCAGTTGATCACAAACATCGAGGACTTTGGGGTCTGAGTGGAACAACTCAGGTGATTTTTGTCAAGCGCCTGATTCATGGATTGGGAGTTCTGCCATCGTTTTCAGCGCCCAAGGATGAGAAAGGGCACCGAAAAAATGGAGAAACCCATGCGCATGGAAGCTTCCTTTGTTTTTTTGAGGCGACGTAGATTGGACCCAGTGAGTGCCTTGGAGCTTCTCATGACACTGACACAGGGAAGATAAAGATGGGGCACCCAGCAGCATCGAGCAGTTTCAAGCTTGATTATCCCATGTGCCCACGAAATGAAAAGTACCACCCATCATAGAGGTTTGACCCTGGCTACAGAAACTCTCGTCGTGACCAAAGTAATTGTCCGTTCGTTGTGAAATCTGCTTTCGCTCATGTACAGTCATACATTTCAACCCAGGCCAGTGGCCTTTCAAGTAGGAAAGGACCAAATCACATCTTGCATTACCGCCGGCAGGCGTACTGTAAGATACTGAGTCAAAGCATGGTCCAACAAACCCTATCTCCGTCCACGCAGTTCCCATCGGATCCCATCACCCCAAAGGCCTTCAAATTCAGCTTTGATCCACCAAGAAGTCAAGCCAAACGGCATCGGTGCCAGCGACGCGATGGGACGGTTTTGCAGCAAAAATGGTGGAAAGATGTACGAGGTTCTACAGATTTCCACGGCGGAAGGACACGTTTGGCACTGGTGCAAAGAGCGTAAGAAGGGTGGTTGATGTAGAACATGCAGCATTCGCGCCTGCCATCCTTTTTTTCACTCAGCCACAACACGCTCACTTTCTATTGAGCACCTCTCTTGAAATGGGGAGAAGGGGAAGGCTGCCAATCACGGGCATGATTGTTATCACTGATGGCGGCTTCATTCATGTTAAGAACAGCTTTGGACGATAAGGACGCTTGTGCTCGGGGCTTCGTGCACTATACAACTGATCTTCTCAGGATTGAGGTGAGGAAGCTCCGCAATTTCTTTCGCTTCATTGTCTATCATTATCTTACTACGTATGATAATACCCTACACGGTACGAAAAAAATGAAAGAGCACCTCATCTCACATCCTGCTACGAACTGATCTATTCGACCCTTTGGAACGAAATGTGATCGAAGTGACTCTCCAAATCTCGAGCTCTCAGCCAGCTGAGCACCAGGCTGAGCAAGTCGCACCTCTTTAACACTTACCTCCAAGGCAGATGCATCATTCACCAGCTGAAGAGCCCATCTGTTTTCAGATTAGGAAAAGCTGCGCAAGCCGAATGCTGCCTTACTTACGAAAAGCAAAAGATTCGCCTGTCTCCAGCCCTCCCATTCGCCAATATGATCAACATGAAAGGCAAGGAATCTTGGGGAAACGGCATGTTCAATCTATATAGGGGAAATCAAGCATGTGGGTCAAAGCAAACCACCCTCCATCGAAACACTCAGTTCAGCACTTCGCTCCGCTCCGGGGGACTCTGGTTTTGCTACAGACTCTGTTTTGCTGCGAGGTGCATACACTGTGATCTCCCATATCTGTGTAAGGCTTCTGAAAAAACAAGCCTGCTTCTGAGTTCGAGAAAGTGTCTTCTGCAAAATAAGCTTCAAGCTGATTTGATGGGGTACTTGAGCTCTTGACCCCCAGTTGTCATCATCTATCTCAAAGTAAGCTCTTGGAATGCGGGATTATGAAAAGAAATCACACTCGGGACAGGAACCTCAAAAAGAAAGACTTGATGGAGTCGAACTGATTGTTTATGCTCTCCTGCGGCAAGTCGCACACGCGCTCTATCGAGAAGGTGCTTCTGGTCGTTTCTCTGACACCCAACTGTACCAACAGTTTGAAATCTTTGGAAATTCAAAAGACATAAGCTCCAGCTTATTTCTATCTTATGTCATCATGGACATCAGCTCCAGCTCTTCAGAGCTCCGTTCCAGTTCTTGGAATGTGGACCCCACAGCTGACAGAGTCGGAAGCAATACGGAACCGATGGATGTGAGGGGCACAAAAGCACTGTATCCGGAACACACGTGGCACGGTCGCCGGAAGAGGTCCTCGATCTCGGAGAAAGTTCTGGACACTCTCTGGTTGAAGTCGGCTGGCGCGAGAGTGATGCTTGAGCTGAGACTTCAGCTGGTGAAAATTGCGCTGGTTCGAAGGAAATCAACGGGTCAAGGGAACAACCATTCATCCATATTTTCATGTACCCTGATTTGCCACTTGTACACTAGAAAATTCCCCAATTTGCAGTGGAAATGCATCCACGGTCACGGAGCTCTCGCTAAGAAGCAACAGAGCCTATTTTGAAGCTGGCTGAGCAGCACATCCAGACATGACATGTTATCGGTGACAGTTTGCACATCCAGAAGAGGGCCGACAAGGTTGGCTTTCGTGCCGTAGAAAAAACAAAAACATCCGTGGCAGAAAAGCTTCAGTCAAAAGTGTTACATGCAGATGACCCCCAAGCCGATCTGCACAGAGCCAGGATCGTTTTCTGGAAATTGGACGAGTAAACTAGGCGTGGACCAATGACCCACCAAAATGCCCTTGGGTATCAAATACATTCTATTCAGATCCCCAATTCCTCCCAGGTTTACTTCTACGAAGCTAGCAAGTCAACGGAGTTGGCACCTAAGGAGTAGGTCTCCTTCTGGTTGTCAATGTGCCTTGGGCGCTGGAGAGCGAATCAGAGCGGATATGGCAAGTCCGTGCCCAAGTCTTGGGGCGAAGGATGAACAATGGAACAATGAACAGCCGTGTTAAAGAACAGCAAGGGAAACACGGCTGTTCTCTTCGTCGCTGATTCCTTCCCATCTTCTCCCGAAGGTGTCCGGAATAGAACGCAGCCAGTGGGGTACGTCACTTTTCTTGTGATGAAGAGATCGTGCAGGGCAGCATGCATATTTGAAAGAACGTCTTCCAGATCCCCGGTTTTTCCCAGGGGCCCCAAGCCGCAAATACATGTCTTCAACATTCTCCAGGTCCACTTCCGCTTTCCACAGGAGCTGGTCGATGTGCTGGCACAGGCGGGTCGGCAGAAGATCCGCCATATCGGCTCATGGAAATCACCGGTTTCTCCAACCTATAGACAGTAACGCACGCAAAAGCATGCGAAATGCCTGCAACAGAACAAACAACATATATATATATATATATCGCCATAATGTTTAACGATAATGAAACACTTGAAGGACAAAATAATGTACCATGGGTAGAGGAGGAGATCCCCAATATGCCTACTCGCAGGATTTGGTGTATCCCAGGAATTATTCCCCTTAGTATCCATCGACAGAATCAGCAAGGGTGGAATCCCGCTTGATGAGAAGGCGTGTTTATCCTGTGGACAATTTATAGTTAGAAGTACTGGTATATTGTAACTATGTGTGCGAGTTGGGTTCATGTGCCAAAAGGACGAACTTTTAAGGTTTATCCATTCCCCTTTGACCAAAGTGAGTCTGGTCTGCGTGCTGGCCATAGGCACTCAACTTCTTGATGACCGAGCATAGAAACAGAGGGGCCTCCATTCCAAGTGCCGCCTTCCCTTATTTTTTCAGTTACTGACGGAGCAACCTCCGGCACTACAGCACATGGACAAAATTCCCATTAAGAGGCAAGGCCTGCAAGTTTCCTAGATCAGGCACATCAATTCTTTCTTTAATGTTATGTTTTAAATTGTTTTAAAATGTTTAAAATTGTCCAAAGAGCGACCACTCACACAATGTCCCTGCCAGTACCTGTGTCAGCTGCCCACTGTTCTTCTCTGATTTGTCTTCTGAACTCTTGACGCGCAAGCATGTGTAGTTCTACAAACACAGAACTATCTTGCAAGTGTTTCATTTCATTCCATCTGAAGTGCGAACCGAAGTGAACCTGACCGGACAGAGACCTAAGCCCCAGGTGTTCGCCACATAGTTGCGAAAGGAAAGTCCACACCTTGGCCTCCCCTGCGCGGACGACGGAGATGCGTGGAGATGCGTGGATTCCCCGAGTGGATCTGGCCCGTGGCGGGACGATCCATCCGGACGACCGATCATCCCACCTTGCAGGCGGCGGTCTCTTTCTTCTTGGCTTTGGCCTCAACACCGGAAGCCGGCGTGGGCGGGTTTGAGGCGAGGTCTTCGTTTGGGAACTCCTTTGGACCCGGATGGAGGCCCCCAAATGGAAGTTTCAGAAGTTTCCTTAGTTCTCTTCTATTGATTTCTGCCTCCACCCGATTTGCCCCTCCTCAGTTCCTCATCCGATACTTTGGCGTCGTCCCCCGCCTCCGTGTTGCTGGCGGAGGATTCGGAGCGCTGGCGCTGGTTCAGAGCGATGAGCTCATTTCGCGCCTGGTCGAGCGAGCGGACCGGACCAGTAGCGCAGCGAAGCGAAGCGAAAGGTGGAAAAAATTTCTTGTTACTAGTAGCGTCCTTGCTCCTAGTAGTAAGGTCAGGAGCCCCTAGTAGCGTCCTTGCTCCTAGTAGTAAGGCCAGGAGC